GCTCTAATCACATGAGATACCACAGGACTTTTAAGTGAAAACCAGTGCTAATTGTGCAGGTGACCTACCCACTTGATATATCCTCAGCACCCGAGGCTCTGATAGGTGTCTGATCACTTTGGTCTATGAAACCTGCTCTGTATGGGTGCTCTACATTTCTTCCGACAGGTTCCTACAAATCACTGAATCAAACTCTTCCATTCTTACTAAGAGGCCTGCAACAGCACCTCACCAACTGCATGCCAGACTGAAGATCACGAGGCAGTTCAAAGGAGCTTGGAACAGGGGAGGATAACAGAAAGTAGATCTTCCTCTCTTAAGCCCTGAAAGATGGTTAGGGAGGGCAGGAAAAAAAAAAAAGAAAGAAAAAAGGGACTATGTTGTTTCAAGAAAAATATGTGTCAGTCTTTTGGGAGAAAAAATATGTAAGATTTAGGAAATCTGGCTGTAATCATGAGAAAGAAAGGGGACAATGCCTCAGGCCTATGAGAAAAAAGAAATCAGATGTTTTAAAGGTGAAGTAGAAAGGTAAATTTCGGGGCAACAGGAAAGCAATGGTTCCCTCAAAACCTCAACTGGCTTGTGTTACCACCACACTAGTGACAAAATACATTATGCCAATGTTTGTGGGTCTGGGTTTTTTTTATCATAGAATCACGGAATGGTTTGGGTTGGAAGGGACCTTAAAGACCATCCAGTTCCAACTCCCCTGCCATGGGCAGGGACACCTTCCACTAGACCAGGTTGCTCCGAGCCTCATCCAGCCTGGCCTTGGACACTTCCAGGGATGGGGCATCCACAGCTTCTCTGGGCAACCTGTTCCAGTGCTTCACCACCCTCTCCGGGAAGAACTTCTTCCTGATATCTCATCTAAACCTCCCCACTTTCAATTTAAACCCATTACCCCTTGTCCTGTCACAACAGGCCCTTGTAAGAAGTCTCCTCCCAGCTTCCTTTTAGGCCGCCAAACCTTTACCCAGCAACCTGTGCAGAAGCACATGTCATTTTTAATCTCCAGCCTATCTTTCTTTTGGCACCATCCTTCTTTATTGGATTCAAAACTCAGTAGGGGCTTATATGTTTCCCAGAACAATACATGTCTTCCCATACTTCTTTGGTCACTAGTGCACAAACAAAACATCTCTTGATTGAATCCATTCAGGTCACTGCTGGCCATTTCTAGCACGTCGTTTAATTACAAGTCAGGAGTTTTACAAAAGACTCATTCTACCCCAGAGAATAACAGCACACTAACAAGGGAAAAGCCAGGACAAAGCAATTTGGGTTTCTGCATATCAGCAACAGTAAAGAAAAAATATGGTACAAAAGAACAAGAAGTGTGTTTTAATCCTTCTGCCTTCTTTTCCCCCTCCTTCAGCTTGACTGGTATTACTGACAGAAGGATTCCTCCTATGGAAAATTTCTGCTTCACTGTTGTGAGTATGTGATT